TATTGCACTGGTGGTCTCATGAGTAGAAATCCCAGGGCTCATTATGTGTAACACCAAAAAAAAAAGAAAAAAAAGAATGGATATTGTACACTGGCTAACCTCAATTTGGACTCACAAATCCTGGATGCACCACAGTAAGAGCTAGGGCAGGTTCAGTAACCAACCCTTGGAAATGGGCAGCCTGTAATTTAAAGGAAAACTATGGCTGTGAAAAATTTTGGGACATGTGTTTGCTTGAAACCTGACTGGAAGCTCACAGAAAGTGATATTTGAAATCTGAAATTAATTGGCATAGAAATTGGATACTGTAAAATTCTTTTTCTCCTGAAAGAACTTTTCTCCTCACTGCTAGACCTTCATGGTTGAAAGCTTTCAAGAGCCACTGAAGGAATCCTTTTCTGTTGCCTCTATCAATGCCTCCCCTTTGCATTGGAAAATTAAAAGCACCCATTAAGCCTCCCTGACCTGATCAATTTTAATCTTTTGCCAAGAACTTGTTTCAAAACTCACGTTTTGAAAAAAAAAGTAGGGATTGTAGGAAGTTAGCACCCACCCCTTTCCTGGAAGAGTAAAATATTTTAGGAAATATGAAAAAGGCAGAATATTATATTTCCCTGGATGAGAAATATGAGAAGCATATTTTACAGACAAAGCAGCTCCCACCTTCCTGCCCCCCACCCTTTGTCAATGGGCCATTAAGGCCTGGGCCAGTCTATTCTACATAACAAAGATCTGCCTCCTTCAGGCAGAGCCATAGTAGGAATTGCGAAAGATAGGATTAGCCCTCTACACAATAGCAGTAGAAACTCACCACATGTGACCTGGGAAGCACATCTGACCATCAGCCAGCAAGGCCCCACCCCCACCCCCTGGGAGTCTGACAACCAATCAGGATACTCTTTTGGGGCCCCAAGAAATGCAGAGCCAGAGAGAGCATAAAAACCCGAGGATTTACTGTATCTGCCCTTTTCTGTTCAGGAACTCAAGCCATGTGATCCTGTCCACCATTAAACCATCTTTCCAAGCAGTCTCCATGTTTCCAGTGCTGTTTCCCCACTTGGAGCAGAACCCAGAAGGATATTTCTTCCAACAGATGCTATAGAGCACTGCACACCAGAACAACTAGACACAAGAACAGTTTTTCCCGAATGCCATCACTCTGCTAAACAAATAATTCCCTCAACACTGTCAAACTATTTATTCTGCACTACTATTAATCTTCTCATCATTCCCACCACCCATCTCCTTCCTCTTATGACTGTATGACTGTAATTTTGTTGCTTGTATCCTTACGATTTATATTGATATTGTTTCCTGATTGGTTATTTGTACCGTATGAGTATCATTAAGTGTTGTACCTTATGATTCTTCATGAACGTATCTTTTCTTTTATGTACACTGAGAGCATATGTACCAAAACAAATTCCTTGTGTGTCCAATCACACTTGGCCAATAAAAAATTCTATTCTATTCTATTCTATTCTATTCTATTCTATTCTATTCTATTCGAATTCAAAGGTATAAGCTTTTACAAGATGCCAACGAAAGAGGGGGGTTATGAAATTGTATTTTGATGCATATTGCTTGAGCTGGGGAAAAGAATGTGTGAGTCTCCAGAAAAAGAAGCTACTCAAATTAGAGGGCCATGAATTAAGGTTTGGATGGCACGGCTATTTATGGTACGATAAAAGTAATGTTGATTTTAATAACCATTTTGTTAGACGTGCCATATTCAGAGTTTGGAATAAATATAAAACAAGGCTCTCTACAAAGCTACCCCTTTGGGTGTCACTACAGGAAGCTTTTTTAAGAAAAGAAATAGTGGCAAAGCCAGATTGGCTGACATATGGTAAAATTTTATCTTTTAATTCTGGTGATGACCCAATATGAAAGCCAAGGGAGGAACTCGAATCAGAAGGTTACGCTTGCCATTGGTTTACTTATCAGCAACTGAAAGAAAGGTTCAAAATGGATAAAAAATGCTATAGATTTGACTTTGTTAAAAATGAATTGGAACTTTCATGATATGGCAATGATGAATGTATTATTGCTAAGATTTATAAAATGTTGTGAAATTGAATTTGGAAAATGAACATGTAAAACATTGTATGATTCAGTGGGCAAGGAATTTTGGATATAATGTGATGCTTGAACAATGGGAAAATAAGTGGATGAGGGATTTAAAATTTACCATATTTTTCGGAGTATAAGACGTATGGAGTATAAGACACAGTTTAGTTTTTGGGGAGAAAAATAGGAAAAAAAATCTGCCTACCAGGTATTCATCTGGCTAGTGTCCTTAGTCTGGTCAGCTTCAGCACATTAGTTTGCTGGTTTTTATCCCCTGCTGTGGAATAAAAAACAGCTTCTAAAGCACAACTATCTTTGGAGAGAGAAGCAATGAGAAAAGCAGGCAAACCACGGAGATCGCTTCACTCGCTAGTGCCTTGTTAGGGCTGAAAAAAAACTTCACAGCTGAGAGTCGCAGGGAGCAGGCAAAAGCTTCACTGAATAAAAGCTTCTAAAGAACAGCTGAGAGTCAGAGGGGGCAGGCAAAGCCGGGAAGATTGCTAGCGCCTCGTTAGAGCTGAAAGAAAGCTTCAAAAAATCTACATTCAGAGTATAAATCACACCCAAATTTTCAGCCTCTTTTAGGAGGAAAAAAAGTGCATCTTATACTCTGAAAAATACACTACATTAAATTATAATCTAAAAGAGAATTTCTATAAGATGATGTATCATTGGTATTTAATACCAGCAAAGTTTTCTAGGATGTATAAAGGCATGTCAAATGAATGTTGGAAGTGTAAAAATAAAGAACAGACTTTTTATCATCTATGGTGGGCATGTGATAAAGCAAAGAAAAAATTGGAGTATGATTCATATTTTAATACAGAAAATTCTGAAAACGGAGATAAAAATGAAACCAGAACTTTTCCTTTTGGGTCTAATGGAAAGAGAACTGGAGAAAAAATTTGGAACTTTGTTACTATGTACGTTGACAGCAGCAAGACTATTGTATGTGCAAAAATGGAAGGTCTCTTTGATTCCTACCATGGAAGAATAGTTGCAGAAGTTGATGGAGTTGGTTGAAATGGCAAAACTGATTACTTTGATTAAAGAAAAGAACATAAGGACTTTCGTTTCCACATGGAAACAGCTTCTGAACATCATGCTTGATGTGGAAAAGTATGAAACTCTGACTTTGGGTTTTACAGATTAGACTGATAGATCTTTATAGAAATGACTTGTTCATACTATTATGGAAAAGCAAAACATTGTGATTTAATGTTAATGCCTTATTTTACTGTAATAGAGAGAATGCCTTTTTCTCTCCCCCCTATCTTTCCTCACTTCTCTTCCACCTCCCCCCTCACTGCTCTTCTATTTACTTTTGTATTTTGTATTTTATAATACTCTATAACTTAATAAAAAAGTTTTTTTTTAAAAATAATTAAATTTAGCAAAGTTCCCCTTTGTGTCAGGCAGAAATTTCTCTTTGGCACTGAAAGGCTGGGACTGCAGCGATTGGTTTGGTGATTTGAAATCAGCAGAAGTCGTTCTTAGAAAGTGGGTTTCTGAGCATATGCAGAATGTGGAGAGAATACCAAGATTGTAAAACAAATCAAATGCTCATAATGCCATCAGCCAAGCAATGCAGGCTGGTGACCCCCAGGGGGAGGGCCTTCTCTGTGGGGGCACCCACCCTCTGGAATCAGCTGCCCCCAGAGATAAGGAGAATCCAAGACCTCCGTGCCTTCCGCTGTGCCCTTAAAACTTTCCTTTTCCAACAAGCCGGGCTGGCCTAACAAATCCCTTTAAATGATTTTAAATTCGTATATCTTTTAAATTTTGGGCCAAATTGAGATATTTCCTTTTAATCTGTTCTTAATGTTTGTATTATGTGTTTTTATCTGGCTGTACACCGCCCTGAGTCCCCAGGGAGAAGGGCGGTATATAAATTTGAAGTAAAATAAAATAAAAAATAAATAATGTAGTTGTCCTAGATGCAGAGCACGGATTTAGTCCTCTTATCAATGAACGCTGGAAGAATTCATTCTATTTGAATTAAAATTAGATTAAGAAATAACTTCTATCTAATTAGGACTTGAAAAGAGGGAAGCATAAGAGAGAGTGGAACAAGATTTTTTCTTCATTTGATAAGTATAGAGGTGCATTTAACTAACAACAGGCCAGGCAAAATCAAGCAGGGGTGTGCGAAGAACCTTCCCCTCATTTGTCTCTCATCATTTCTCCTAGTTGTCAAAACAGTTCACTAGTGAAAAGAAATGATGAAATATCCAACAATTGATTTCTCCAGCATCATATTGGTTTGAAAAATTACACGTTATGCTAGTAATAATTTATATGAGTTTCTGAATTTAATTCTAAAGGGAGAAGTCACTCAGTATTAAAGGGACAGAAAATTGAAAATGGACAAAGTTACAGAGAGAGCTAATTAGGAGCATAGAAAGGCCATTTGTTGACAGGAATTTAGATTTAAATATTTGTTTAAAAAGTACTTAAATATATTAAAATTACATGTGAGTTTAGGAATTTTATTTTGCTTAATTTTGTGCTGTATGTGCTATCTTTTTTCTTGACATACAAAGTACATGTGAGCTTTCTTAAATATATATTTGTATCTAATCTGTTTAAAATTAAAATAACCAACTCCAGGAGTTTGCAATAATAATGTGGGGAGGGAGGGAGACACTTATGCCTTTCTTTTCTTGTTCTAGCTCAGTTGATAATTAAGTTTAGCAAAGTTCCCTTTTTGTTGGGCAGAAATTTCTCTTTGGCACTGAAACAGCTGGGACTGCAGGGATTGCTTTAGCAATTTGAAATTACCAACAGTGGTAGTGGGGAGAGGTTGCATTCCAAGTTTATAACAAGTATATACTTGCAAATGGCCTGGACTTGGTACACAAAATGAAACACACATGTGCCAAAGTACATATAAACAATATATAAGAAGTAGAGACACAGAGAAAAATTACCTGTTAGACCTTTATTTAGCAGCATCTCATCCCATTGTGTTTGATTGAGTATTACTGCCTACAGTAAACAATATAGAGAACATTATTTCCTCAATTTGCTTGCTTATCTAAAGAACAGAATAACAAGATACTAACAGAATAACAAGATACCTGTAGCTGAATTTCTTTCTTCTTACTTGCCATTGTTATTCTCTGTTATGGTAGAAATAAAACAAATAGAAATTATTGAGAAATATACTATTATTATGCTTTAATGCTGGGTTCTGTCTAAACCACTGTTTGCTTGTACTATGAGTCTGTACCAGATTGACAAAGATCTTACAATAACAACATGAAGACAAGTGAAGGAGGCAGGAACACTTATTCATACAAATGCATTATTATCTCTGCCATATCCATAGAAATTCTCACATTCATGTACTTCACAGCTATGTATCATGACACAAATCACAGTACAACTATCTTTCCTCCATTATACCTCCTTATTAATTAATCCAAGGTAACTCCTTCCAGAAGGTAAAACTGTTGGCAGGAGGTAACATGAGCAGGAGTGGGCAGGTTTTTACTGCTGTTGCTATGGTCACCAAAGAACATCTAGATAGATCCCAACTGTAAAGAATAGGTAGGTGAGGATATACATAGCAGAATGGATCTCAAGCCAGATAGCCTGGGTTCAGGAGATGGAAAATGATAGGCTTCTGGCAAACTAGTAACTGAGAAGAATTAAAACTCAGGAAAAATCTAACAGCTGAAAAAACTCAATCTTGAATGTCTCACCTTCTTTCTATGAGATTGAAGAAAGAAAAGCAAGGCTACTATAATCATTTGCATCTTGAAAGAAGATACAACAGTTGTCAAAGTACAGGTAGTTCTCGATTTGCAACTACAATTGGGACGAGAATTACTGTTGCTAGACAAGGCATTGTTAAGTGAGTCATGCCCAATTTTATGATTTTTTTTTTTGCCATGGTTATTAAGCGAATTACTGCAGTTACATGAATCACATGATCATTAAGTGAATTCAGATTCCCCCACTGAATTTACATCGGATGCTCATTGGGAGGGTAACAAATGGGGATCACATCACCCTGGGACACCACAACTGTCGTAAATATATGCTAGATGATCATGGGACCAAGGGGATCCTGCAGTAGTCTTAAGTATGAGTACTGATTGTAAGTCACTTTCTTTTAGTGACTTTGTAACTTCAAACAGTAACTAAATAAATGGTTATAAATTGAGGACTACTTGTATTAAGAGTTATGGCACCTGCAGGTTGTGTGTGTTGCTGGGGAAGCACATGAGGGAGATAAATGCATCACTAACAGTAGAATTGGCTTGCTCATTTGGCTCTGCTCACTACTGGCTTACAACCCCATCTTTCCTAAGAATTTGGGGAATTGGCATCCTAAACCATCTGGAAAACATCATGTTGGAAAAGATTTATTTTCCTTTTCTTTATATTAATAAATGGAATTATATTTCATTTATATTCATTTATGCATTTATGGACTTCTGTGCCACCCATCTGAAATAGTCTTTATCTAAATTTAATAAAAACAAACATTTCCTTTAAATTCTAAATATTCAGTAAGCACTTAGATTCATCCTAGGTCCATTCCCAATGATTGTATGGCTTGAATAAAAGTTTAAACATGTTTGGGTTTTACATTGGCATGTTCAATGATACCTTGCTCTCAAATATGTAGATTTCAATTTCCATAACTCTCAGCAATGGTCCTGTTGTCTAGGTAAAGGTAAAGGTAAAGGTTTCCCTCATCCAGTTGTATCTGACTCTAGAGCAAGGGTCTGCAACTTTAAATACTCAAAGAGCCATTGGACCCATTTCCCACAGAAAAGAAAACACTGGGAACAACAAAACCTGGGTGGGCATGGCCAACTCAATGTCACTCACTCCCACCCAGTCACATGACACCCACACACCAGCCATGCCTACCCAGGTTTTGTGACTCCCGGTGTTTTCTTTTCTGTGGGAAACAGGTACATCTCTCTCTCTCTCTGTGTGTGTGTCTGTCTGTCTCTGTCCCTTTCTCTGTCCCCCTCCCTCTCTGTTTCTCTCTGTGTGTCTCTCTCTCCCTCTCTCTCTCCCTCATCTCTCTCTCCCCCTCTCATCTCTATCTCTGATCTCTATCTCTGTCCCACTCTCATTTCTGTCTCTATCATCTCTCTCTCTCATCTCTCTCTCTCACACACATGTGTGTTCCCTCTTGAACCATTTCCAAAAAGAGACAAGGGTTGTGGGTTTTTTTGCTGATGTTGTTCTTTCTTCTTCTTTGGGTGCTTTTAAACATAGGATTTAAATCAAGAGTAATTTCAGGTTTGTCAGAATATTCATGACTGGGAAGACATGGTAACAAGTCAGCCAATGAATAGGCCATTAAGAGCTGTTTAGAAACAGAAATTTAAGTAAGAAGTCTGGGTGTGGCTTAGCTCTGCAGCTTTAAGCTCTGAGTCTGATTCTGTGCTGAGGATTGAACTAGTCTAATCTGCCTCTCTGAACTGATCTAAAACCAAAGAACCATTCTTGGTATTGAATATATTACTTCATGTATTATTATGTATATAAAGAAGTTAATGAATCCTGCTGAATCAGTTTACTTGTGTGTACTTTCTGGATTTGATTTTTGCAACTAACTCTGACAGGTTATGGGCCCAGAGCACACAGAAAGACTGATTTGTAATTAAGCTGAGAGACTGCCTGTGTTTTAAAGAGAAACCAGGCATAGAAAGCTTGCAGGATGGCTGCTGTTGAATTTAAGGAGAGCTCTCTGCCTCGTTTGGGACAGAAAATCTATATTGTTTGGGCGGCAAAGATGGAATGTTTCCTGAAGGCTAAGGAGCTCTGGGATATTGTTGTTAATCCACACCAGGCACCATTAGCAGCTGCGGAGCAGAGGCAGCATGATAAAGCAATGGCTTATATCATCTTAAGTTTAGAAGATGAACAATTTCTCAATGTAGCTGATTTAAAGACTGTACGGGAAGTCTGGCTGAAGTTGAGAAGTGTGCATGTGAGTGTGTCAGCATGCAATATTATGCAATTATCAAGAATATTATACAGAGCCCATCTGCAACCAGGAGAATCTGTGGAACAGCATTTTGTACAAATGCAAACTTTGTTTGTGGAGTTGGAACAGCGTGGATTGCAGTTTCCTGAATCTCAGAAGGTGCTACTAGTGTTAAACAATCTGGATGAAACTTGGGACATTGTTTCTGCACTATTTGAATGCAAACCAGAGCAGGAGTTGCATTTGGAGGCTTTAAAAGCTTGTTTGGTTGCTGAGGAGAACAAATGCCATTTTAGAAAGAGCCACAAGGAGGAATTCCTGAGTTGGGGACCCAAGGAGCAGAGAGATAAGAGGAGTGGAGAATTCCAGAGACTGGATGTCTGCAAAGAGAAATGTAGCAGCAGAAGAGATCAGATTACACCCCAGCAAAGACTTTCTAAGCAGAAACAACAGCAACAATGGAGGGATTTCCTTTGTGGTGAAAAAACTCATTTAAAGAAGGACTGTTTGGAAAGGAAAAGCTGTTTGCAAGGAAAATTGCAAGATGGGAAGGTTGCTGTTGCAAAAGTCAGCTATTGCAATAGCAAAGACAAATGATTGAAAGACAGTGGGGCAAGTCAAACAATTGTTAATAATTCTAAATTGTTTTACAGAATGGATCCAGCTGCTGGAGATGCAGTAGCTTTGGCAAATGGTCAGAAGGCTAAAGTCATTGGAATAGGCAGTGTGCAAATTCCATATCTGGAAAAGAGGTTTAATGATATAATATGTGTGCCTGAAATGGAGCATAATTTATTGAGCGTCTATAGTTTAGACAAGCAAATGGGAGGTGTCTAATAAAGAGAAAATATTCAATGTACACAAACATTTGGAAATGAGGCACCACATGATTCATATATTCATCTCTTGCACAGAAAGCTTGGCCATGCCAGCTTCAGAGTTTTGCAAAGGATGGACCAGTTTGCAGAAGGATTACATTTAAATGGATGTAAGGCATATTTGGATTGTGCAGTATGTAAGTCATCAAAGTCCAAGGCGTTCCCAGTAAGCAAATGTAGCAAAAGGCAGACAACAAGAGCTCTAGAGCTGGTGCATGCAGATTTGGTGGGGCCAATGCAAGCCACTTTGGGAAGAGCAAAGTATGCACTGGTCATTGTAGATGTTTTAGGTTGTAGTAGTTGTAATAGTTTTGGGTTCTGCTATTTACTAAAGAGTAAAATAGGGATGCTACAGAAATTTAAACAACAGGTATGTCAGCTGCAAACTGACAGAGGTTCAGAATTCATGTCAACAAGTTTTCAACAGTGGTTGGAACAGTTAGATATAAAACACAGACACACAAATCCATACACAGCAGCTGAGAATGGTGTTCTTGAGAGGCAGAATGGAGTCTTACAAACCATGAAGGACTCACTGCTGGAGGACTCTGGTCTGAGCAGGTCATATTGGGGTGAAGCCATGTTGACTGCTAACTATTTAATTAATAGGCTGTGGAGTTCATCCATTAATGATACTCCATATGCAGTGCTATATGGGAGAAAACCATCTCTGGCAAAAACTTTAAGAGTTTTTGGAAATAATGTGTGGGTGCATATTCCAAAAGCAGTCAGAAGAAAGGGACAACCAAAAGTTAGAAAGCTCAGGTTTATGGACTATGAGCCTGATTCAAAGAGCTACCGCTTTAGTGATGGGAGAAGAAGAATAGTGATTTCAAGGTCTGCTAGTTTTGCAGCACAAAATTGGAATAGAATTGATGCAAATTTTTGGAATTATCCACTTAGTGACGGTAACTCACTTGGTAATGGTAACTCACTTAGTGATGGTGTCAGCATTCAGGAGGAGAAGCTGAAAAATATATGAAGCAAGAGAGGGTTGAAACACAAGAGCAGTCAGTGCGGTGGAACAAGTGGATTCCACCTGACAGGTATTCTGCTAGTAGAGTTAAAGTGGGTACTGTATGGTATGAGCCAAGGAACTATAAAGAAGTATTGGCATCACCTAAAATTGAACAAATAAAATGGAAAGAAGCCATGGACAAGGAAATGAAATCCATGGGTGAACATAAGATGTTCACATCTATGGCTTTGCCACAAGGTAGCAAAGTCGTAGGATGTAAATGGGTATACAAGAAGAAAGTATTACTCAATAATGAGATACAATATA